AGTGTAGAAAATCCTGCCTGCTGATAAAGATCAAGCTTGTGCTCCTGAGACTGTAGTGACCAATTTAACAATACATGATCATATGTATTGAGAGAAAGAAAAGATCTCTCAATCCCCTCACTGAACGTCCCACAGTTTTCATAATATAGTGAAAGCTCTCCTTCCCTCTTATAGAATAGTTGAACTGGAGAAAGCAATTATAAACATCTCAGCTATTATTAAACACATTAAGCAACATACTGCAGACCTTAATTCGGGCAGAAGTGTTTCTAAGAACCTTTAATAATTAGATCGTAACAACTCCCCAGGTTCACAAGCACATGCACTGCACATTCATGGATCTCCCTCTGCCTGCCTGGAACCCAAGCCCCAATCCCAGACCCCTTGCTGGACCAAAAGATCCTCAATTCACCAGCTAGTCTAGATGGAAGTTTGCTGATGATGCCCATATGCACCCATCTACACCAGGTTTGGGGAGAACACAAACACTTTGCCTCAGTGATTCACAGCATGCCACACAGACTGTGACCTGCAATTCTGCTGCAATAACCAGTGGTGATGCCCTTACTTGCCTAACTTATGCTGGGCCTGCCCAGCAGCTGGTTTGGGAATATGCACATTCCTTCAACAGGGGGTTAAAGACCCCCACTTGCTACAGTGCTGACACTGAATCACAGAATCTTTAAGATTGGAAAAGACCTCTGAAATAATTGAGTACAACTGTAAACCAAGCACTGCCAAATCCACCACTAAACCACATCTCTCAGGTCTGACTTCACCACTTCCCTGGACAGGCTCTTCGAAGGCTAAGTACCCTTTCAGTGAAGAAATTTCCCTTAATATCGAATGTAAACCTCCTCTGGCACAAAAGCCTTCAATCAGGTATTTTTAGAGAATGACTGAGATCCCCACCACTCGCTCCAGCAGCCAACACCAGAGACCAGGAGCACCCACATCCCTCATCAGCACTCCAACAGCTAGCACCCACTCCTTTCACAATAGCCCCCCAGTGTCTGGCACTGAGTCCTTGCAGCATACACATGCATGGGACAGACAGTGAGATGACACAGAGCAGGTAAGAGATACGAGAAGATTTAGAGTAGGGACAGAGTAGAGAGTTAGGGAAGTAGAGAGTTAGGACAGACTGTAGCAACCAGTCTCAGGACTTTGCCAGACAAGTGTACTGACCCACCATGGTTTACACTCGACTAGTCCATTTTCTGTCTATTCCTCTTCTTTTCCTCCCCTGCACATTGCCCCATTTGCAAAAACCCACCAACTCCCCTCCAAAATCATGGACCCCCAGGACCACATTCTTATCAGTTGCAAAGAACCATTCGCCCACAGTTTCTTGATAGCTGCTCAGTATGACTGATGATATTGGTTTCTTCGTCTCCATTATGAATTGCCTGTCAGATTTGGGTGTCCATATACTTTGCCTCTCCCTTTTTCTTAGTAACCTATTTGACAAAGTCCTTCATCAGAAAATAATTTTGGAATAAAAAATCTTACACTCTACATACACTTACCATTTTGTGTGACTCATCAGTTTTGGTTTTCATCTCTGACTCCCTCGTTATAGGTCAGACAATATTGTGTCTCTCTGTGTTTATGGTTTCCTCCTTTTCTTAACATCCCCTTTTGCGTTGAGAAAATCCTTGATTAGACACCTTAAATGAGCAGACACTCTTCTTCCACATATTTTTACAATCAGCACAAAATTGAAAAAAATTACCATAACTGTGTTACAAAGGAGTATGGAGCAGAATATAGCAGAAAACATGACAGAAAAATTTTATTTTTCAGTTATACAAATAAAAGTAATCCCCATAGCTGTACTTGAAATAATACTAACAGTGTCAAACATGACAACTCTGACAGAATATACATCAATACTTAAACCACAGAAATTGTATGACATAGACTCAATAGCAATAATACTGTGCAGGAATGAAGCTCTCWATAAATGCTCTTCCTTTATCTACATTTATAATAATTGTGCTTTTCCCTAAACAAAGTAACAGTGCTCTTAAACATAAATAATGTGCAATTTCAGAGTTCTATCCTGAAATATACTCATCTAGATCCCCATCTAAATCCTGGAGACATCTCTCCCAGSAAAATCACCACAAAGAGTGCTTAGCACTTTGATACAACACTAAAAAAAGGTACTGAACCCGCATCTGTTTTCCTTCCAATTTTTTTGCAGTCATTTAGAGAAAAAGTACTGATCTCAAGCACATGGTGCTTTAATTGTTTAACAAAAGAATGATATACAGTCTTTATTACAGATCAGATTCAGATGTGAAAGGCTTCATAGATCTTGTATCTGGAGAGTGGCTCAGAGCTGTGGGAGAGAACTATCCCAAAGCTGAATTTAACAAGCATTTATCTATTATTTTTATGAAATATGAAAGACTGTCACAGAAACATTAAAATGTGTCTTAGTAAGCAATTTACAATAAATTTATCTGAATAAAATCAAGTTGTTTAATGCAAAGCTGCTCTAAGCTTTGGAAAAACAAACACATTCTGCTGTCTTGATTTGATTCCCTATTTTTATTTTTAATGTACGTTTAGAAACTACAGCTGGCAATTGATATAGTTGATGACAGGATAAATTTGAGAAACACTCAAAACAAAATTCATAGGCATTTCAGTTGTTGCTCACCAGGGCAGATAACATTAAAACATTAGGGATCTTCCTTTTTATCCTTCTACTTTGTATTAGTTGTCGATAGTGTTGGATTAAAAAAGTGATAATTATAATATAACGTGATAATCTGCTCTGTGCTGTGGGCAGCAGAGGTGCGAATGTACATAAACAACAGAAAACATCAACGCAGCTATGGAGCCTTAAGCTGTTGACTGCTGACAGTGTACAATCACAAGGTGAAATCTATTCCACCTGAAAGTCTCCATACAGCAGTTAAGCCATTGCTGCTATGCCTTGGGTCACCTTCAGGGGAAAAGTCACACACTGGAAGTAATGTTTTTTCCATTTAGATCCTGGGGTGCCTTAATAGAAATGCTCCAGGAGTCCCAGGAGGTATAAGGTAAAGGTATGAAGGGTGTGTGCAATGAGTCTACTGCCTACGGCTTCCGAGCCGTGGAATGCAAACAACAGGGAGAAGTCTTGGGCATGTCTCACCTCAGGTCGCTTAAACTAAGCAGTAACTGGTGGTCACAAACCATCTCAAAACAATTTGTAGCACAACAAACCACGCACCAGGAAGTCTCCCAGAATCTTTGGGCTCCAAATGGACACAGGTCATATACAAGAATAGTAATGTAAAGTGACTCTTAGTGCTTGTAAAAACCTGCACAGTCAAAGACCACAACTGCTACTTGCCTCATAGAATGGTTTGAGACCCACTACACACTACATCACACATCAGCTGAGGATAAAGTGAGGCTGGTAGAGAAGAGGTGTACTCATATGGAGTTCCATACTTTTGGTAGAGGCACACCTGGGTACTGGTTTGAGGGAAATCAGGCATGAGAAAGATGAGTGTGGAACACGGCGGAGAACTCCAAGCCCATGACTCGTGGTGCCCAAGCATGCAGTACTGAAGGTGGAAAGCCTGCAGAAGATAAGTTTAAGGCCCAGTTTTGAGGAGGTATGAAAAACTCTGTTCTCTTGGAAGGAGGTGCTACTGTGAAGTCTTGGGCCAAACCAAGCCAGAGAAATTTAGMAATAGGGTAAAAATCTGGTTACATAAAAACCATGGTAAAAATCCATGGTTACATACTAAAGTTAACTTCACTCACTGAAAATCAAATGTGAGGCATGCAAAACAGGCTTAGGCCAAGCTTTAATTTGATTGCTGACTTTTAAAGACAAATATTCTCATGTATCTTTCTACTTACATTATATTCTTTTCATTTATCTATTTACTCAAATTTAATCTTTTCCTGCCAAAGGAATCACAGAGTCTCCATTAACTTGGCTGCCAGATACATAATCAATTGGCATATTCAAACCTTCCCTGAGGTGAATAAAGTCACCCATTGGCTATTATTTTAGACTACCTGAGCTTGCTGTTTGTCAACAGCCTGATACTACAGAGAAGACATTTGCAGTAGATAAAGCTAAGCAGATGTTTTCCTGAGCTTCTCAGTGACTGGCAATCTGCGATTTTTCATTTCAACAGCCATTTTTCAATGTATATGAAATATATTTTAGAAGCTCAACAATAGCAAAACCCTAGAAGCAAGAACAAGAATATGTTCACCCTTCATTGAAGAAATAATCTTGTATTAAAATGAAGGCATACACAGTGAACAAATAACACCCACTTGTTTATCAACAACAAATTAAACACAATCCAGTCTGTGTSGCTCTTTAGTTTCCTGTGATGCCTTGATTTCAGTGAGTTGCATGTTGGGACCACTTATTGCATATTAGCATGTGGGTAAACTAAACTGTCCTGGGTAGGAGAGTCTGGTGAATAAGGAAAGATGTTACTGTGTCTTAGATATAGCAGAACTGACTTTCTATTTCCTGTAATATTTGGCTGCAAGGCAATGATTTAGCTACTAAATTTGCATAATCGCAAATCTCCAGTCATGCATGATGAAATACATGCATTTAAGAGGAGAAAATGGGTAATAAAGAGCATTTACAGCCAGTAAATATTTGCAAGTGTGGTGAAACATATGAAATTGCTCAACTAACTCAAAATTCAGTAGGTGCGTCGAGTATCATATCTGGAGACTAGAACCTAATGTGGATATGAAAACATAACAAGAAAATACCCTGCATGCCTAGTCCTTAGCCAAGCATAACAGGAAAAATGTGAAACCATGACGTTATCCATTTATGTGCTCCTTTAGCACTAAAACACATCATAGGATGACTGGTTTTGTTTCTTAATATATGCTGTACTGACACTCCACCCTTTCCAATGCTCCTGTAATTTCTTGTTCTCTTTTTTTGGGAAAGAAGAAAGTGAAAGAACTCTTGGATTTGTGGATAAACAAGACTGATGATCAAAAAAAAAACAACTATGAGATAATGCAGCTCTGTGTTATTTCAGTCAGTTACACATCAGAACATCAGATGATACAAAAGAGTTATAGTAAAAATAAAGAGATCATCTAACTGCACTAGAAATTAAAGTTTTAAAAGAAGTGTACAATCTGCAGTTTTTTCCATTGAATTGGCTAGGTTTTATTTTCTTTCTTTAGATATGCCACTGTCACCTGAGTTTCTTTAGACTGTGTTTTCCTTTCCACCAGGGAAAAACTGTGTGTGCATATCTATATATATTTGAATGTATGAAATAATTTCTTTACTCCTGCAGATTTTTCTGAAGAATTCTATATGCAAAGTCAGTGTTTAAGTCAGGCTTTGCAATGCTTAAAAAATATAAATAACAAAGACTTTGTTCTCTTAAGCAGCATAGAAACATAGAACTAAATCCACACCATTTCTCCAAGATAAGGAAAAAATGTGTATAAGCGTAATCTTTGGCACCAAAAACAAGGGCACCCTCTTGTACATCTTCCAATCTGTACAGGAGAGAAAAACTTCTCATGTCAGATCAAAACAATATCTGAGTTTGTTTCATATATTGGGTCCTGACAATGGTAGCTAGAAAAACAATCAGGATGTTAAGGATTGTGTGACAGTAGGATAAGCCACAAACACACTTGATAAAATATTTGATGTTCCACTCCATCCTCCCATTCTTATGAATCTGTTTTTCTTAGGACAATTCCATAAGATAGAAACTTTTAGCTACTCAAAACATCCTTGAAATCCTGTAAGGGCTCCAAAACTTAAAACTCACCTAACCACAATAAGAAAAACAACCACAAAAATTGAGGTTATAATACAAGATCAGAAACAGTTCTCTGACGGAAGGCATTTACTGATTTGTTTGATCTTACAGACTTACTTTCTGTACTCAAATCCATCATGATCTTTTCTGCCAAAACCTGATTTATTTGCTTCAGAAAATATTCCATCCACTGGGTATTTCTCGAGTGGGCTCTCTGACCATAGTTGCAAATCAGCAGGCTCTTTTTCTTCTTTAATTCATGATGAAAGTGTCACTGAATCCTGTAAACACTACTGAGTATACATTCAAGCTTTGTTCTTCATGAAAGTGGCATTTGCTTGAACAATTGAAGTAAAGATAGCGTAGTTATATAGCACTTCACAGATAATAACTGGTTATATACTTCTGATAAAACACCTTTTGCCAACAGCTTATTGGGTATTGAAACAAGTCCCCACTGTGGTTCCATTACCATACCACAACATTTTTATGATAACGTGTGTATCCTGTATTTATTGTACTTTAWGTGCACTTTATTGCTGTATGCATTTCCCTGTTGTTAATTTAAGTGCTCCTCTATTATGTAACACATATAAAGTTTTGAACTCTAATGGCATCCTATGAGGACTGGCATTAGAAAAGTACCGATACTTGAGATCATCATAATAATGATACTTGACTGGTTTTCCATGTAAATCCTTTGGGAATGGCCAAAATCCATACAGGTGAATTTCATCACAAAATCTGGTGGCAAGTGTATACATGAGGAGACCAGTGCTTGGTCGTTTAATGTGGACCTTGTTTGTCAGCCAATAGCTGCAAAGAAAGAAAAAATACATCAAGAAACTCATGAATAAATCCTGTGAACTTATTTTCCCTACTATGCATTCTTTTTACAATATGAAAAGGCAAAAGTCTCCTTTTCTCTTAACTGAGATCATGATGATACTGTTCTGGTGCACCTTTATTCCTCCTAGAAGTTAAGGGAGACCTTATTTATTAGCACAGTGCTGAAGAAAAGCTGGCCAACTAAGGAACTTAGTTCAGGTTTGAATCCTAACAAGACATCATGTCAGCAGAAGCTCAGAAACTGCAGTTAACCCCCTCAACCAGATCCGGGAAAAGTCTCTTGCTATAAAATCTGACCTCTTGTAGTATCCAATTCACCTGATCAAATGGGCCCTACATTGAACCTTTGGTTGACATGGTGGTTACTTCACAGATTGCTTATCTAAATGGAAAACAGATGGAAATTATAAACATAAGTAAAAAATATAACTTTCAGAAATCAGAAGTGAAGCTTGATTTAGTGATTAAACACATAAAGCTACCTGTTGTTAACAGCAGTCTTGAGACAAGCAAGACCTTACACTACTGATTTTTATGTTGTTTACTCATTCACTGGTCTGTCTGAGGCTACAGGACAGTTTCCCTGAACCAGTAACAAGAAGTCTGATTATGGCTTCAAAAGCAGCAGAGGGTTTTCAAAGAGACAAACGGAAACTTAGCTGGATTCCAGCATATAACTCATGCTGGAATCCTCTAAGTCTATCAYTGACATTGTTCTACTTCTCTACTGTTTAAAATCAAAACTTCATTATAATAGTGCCAGTCTATTAATGGTAAAACACTTCTCCCAGGTTTGAGTTAATATAAAGTCTRTCAGTACTTTATAGAAGTAAAAATGGACACTTAAGATTCTGAAATTGGGTCATTCTGATGATTCAAACAACAGCCATGCATACAGCCGTACTGATCAGACTGTGTGACTCTAAGTAAGGGAAGTAAGCATTACATAGCATTACCACACAAATATCAAACTATTGCAATGTACCACTGAACTCCTAGTGTAGGCTGTGAATTGCTTCTACCAGAATTGAACTTCTAGTCTAGGAAGAAGTTTAACAGAAATTAGCCTCACCAAATCAGAGGTAACCTTGTTTTAACGGGGATTTACAATAAAGCTGGAACTTAAAACTGTACAACCAGATTGCTATAAAAGCATTAAAAGCATAGTTGCAGGAACATCCAGCCCCCCAGTGTGAGACAGGACATCAAAACTGTGTTTTTAATCAAAGCTTGAAGTATGTTAAAAGCACCAGATAATATGCAACAGTTAAATTAACCACCCAATTGAAATGAGCTTCTTAGTTCCATTCCCTGCCAAAACCATAGCTTTGAATCACAGGTATGCATGCATGTGAAAGCTAATTTGGCATTTTTGGTGGGTTTTTTGTTTGTTTTGTTTTGAGCCTTTATTTTGGGGTTTTGTTGCTGTTGTTTTGGCTTATTTTTACTCTAATTAATTTTTATGAAAGCTAAAGGACTCTGCAAGCAGGAAACAGTTCTAGGCTGAGTGACTACTCCTCCAAAGCCAGCATAGGGAATGACTCGGAAGTTTGCTTGGCTGTAAAAATAGGATTAGAAAGCATATCTAAGGAGTGAATGAAATTGGGAATGGATACATCTACAAATGACACATGCATATATAATTTTTCATTGTTGTCACAAACATGTTTTTTCAGTTTTAAAATGCTAAGCATTTTGCTCCTTACTCTGATAAACTGCAACTCTGTAAGACAAGATAAATCAAAGCAGAGACTCCATTCTAGAAAATAAATGTTTATGGGAAAGTTGCTGAAGAAAGAAAGCTGAACACCTTTAGCACTTCATATCACAGATGCAGCAAAAGAGATTAAAAGTTAGAGCTAATTATTTAATTTTTGAAGAAACTTGTATTTGTCTCTTGAGAAGTTGGTACTTTAATCCCATGAAGATCATTCACACAGTGAATCACTACAAGCACTTGTTTTCTTGATGCCTTATGCAAAAACTCCTTTGTGGGGCCTGAAGGCTGAATTTATTGAAAATAACTGAATATGCCAACATGTAAACACCCTTTGATTCTATATTTTTTGTGACTCGAAGTTGAGTAACTTGAATTCAGAGATCTCACTTCAGGCTACTTTAAAATATGTGGCTGGTCCTAATGTAATGAAGACACTCGCAATATACCATGAATTKCAGCTCATGCTCAAGTTAAAAGCAACACCTATGGGCAAGTGAAAAACAGCACAAATATAGAGTTTGAACTGTCTGCAATGAAAGGATGGTCAGGTCAGTACTTAGGTCCATTCATTCCATTTTTAAAAAACTGCCCTTAAGAAATACAATGTTAGCAACAGATAACTAAAATGCTCCACAACACACTGTAAGAGTAAAGGTCATCCTGCTGACAGCAGAGGACTGCTAGAAGTGACTCTTCCATGAAAAGAAGGTATATTTGAGCAGATGCTGATTCCTGTGACCATGTCCTTGTGCTCCTACTACCATTCTGACTATTTTCACCTCAGCTCCTCATCCCAAATCCAAGCATCTTTGCCTCTAACATATTAGGCCATGGCCACACACTAAGACATCTTTCACACAGTCCAAAATGGATCTCTCTTATACAAACCTTTCTTTTTACAGGGCATACACACTTCAATGACATTTCATGTTATTTTAAAATCTGAACAGTGATCTCTTGCATGTTGCACTGTATTTTCCCTTAAAACATGAAAACAATCTAATAAATTTTTGATATTTCTGTTAGTAAATTTTAGATATTTCTGGAGAGAAATACTGCCAGTAATGGATTTGTGTCAGCATCATTTCTGATGCTCTAAACAGAAGTTTTTTCCTTCCTTTTTATTGTTATTATCTTAAAGAAACCTAGTTCTTATATAGAGTTCCACACCATGAATCAAAGACGTGTTTCAAAATTCTGTATGTAAAAATGTAATTTTTATCGAAGATCCTTCTTTGTCTCTACTAAGATAATACAAAAGGCCATTAAAAGTATATCAAAAATCGATTTTAAATTGAGGCATTGGTACAAAACCTAAACATTTCTGTAATAGTGACTTTTACAAGAATCATGAGATTATTCCTATTGAAAGGGATGTCAGAAGTCTCTGACCAACCTCTGACAGATCTCAGTCCAATCTCTTTCTCCAAATAGAGTTTCTCAGCCATTACTGGCTGGGCCTGTGCTCTGGCACAACCACCTTTGTAGCTCCTTACTCACCTTAGGCCAGTATCTTTCCTGCTTTAAGGGACAGGAGATTGTCAGCAACAGAAATAGCTCATGCTCCAAACACTGATGTAAAGTTTTGCTCATTATAACAAAAACTATATAAAGAAGCTACAACCAAAGAAACCTCCCTGAAGATACTGGACTGGGACTGTGGACTGTAAATGAAACTGCTGAGATTAGATAAAGGGAAACCTATTGTTAAGTCATCTCAGGCTGAGGGGAAAGGAATGCATCCACAAAAGGCCAAACCCACCAGCCACACTGAGAATCATCTCTGGCTGAGTTTGGGGTGGGGGAGACCACAGCCCACAGATTCCCCCCCACTCACAAGACGGGGCCAGGGAGAAGAGGTTTCAGGTGTGACCTCTGGTTAGAGGCAGTGAACACCCCTCCTCCATTTCACAAACTGGCCCAGCCGTGGAACCCTCAACCCCATAGGCCACATCCACAGGGCATCCATGTGAGCGGCAGCTGAGGGGGTGTCATAATCCATCAAAGACCCCCAGATTGCTCCCCAGAGGCCTTGCACAAAATGCAACAGATGCAGAGCATGCTACAAGAGATTTCCCCCACCCTGGTGGATATTGCCACCTGGCTTGAGCGTCTATCCATGGGATTTTGTGCTTTCTGAGAGGAATATCACCACAAAGACCAGCCAGACAGGGTCAATGCAACACCCACTGATGGTGATACTTTCTTTATTCTGTCTCTGTCACTCTCCTTCTGTCTCTCTCTGTCACTCTCCTGTCCCCCCACCTCTCTTCCTACTTCTCCTTTTCTCTCTTTTCCTCTCTCTCTCTCAYATTTRCTATCAAATAAAACCCRTACTATTGACTGGCATATAGTCTTGTTTGCACCTTAATTCAGGCAGAGGTGTTTCTAAGAACCTTTAATAATCAGATCATAASAGGCCCACAGGTGCTTGAGTGGAAAACTCCTTCTACACTTAGAAAAAGCAATGAAAAAAGCCAAAAGTCTGCCTTGATGAATATGAGATACATAAATTATTAATAACCGTAAGTACTATTACAAGATTGCTTTGACAGTTATATTTGTCTTGGAATTTACAGAACCTTAGTATTTCAGCCTTTAAAAATACTGAACCCGTTTCCGCCAGATCAAAACGCTATCTATGGTTTAATATACAGCCAAACCCACAAGACTTTCACCTATATCTAGCAAGATATCCTCACATTTATGAAAACTGAATGCTCTGCTTTCAGCATGACTGATGGAGGGATGTCAATTGACTAGCACGTTGCTACCTAATAATGACCTCTTGCAGCTATGGAGAAAAATTAAATTCAAATAAACACATAAAACTATAGACATCAGTTTTAAAAATAGTCAACACTAAAATGATCTTCTGAGGAGATGCCATTACAATGACTAATACATGCAACTGATACCAATTATCATTACATTAAATGGATATTGGGGAATTCAAATTACAATTGTTTATCTTGCTACTGTGACATAGATGACTTCTGACTAGATTAAAACATAAGATATGCTTTCCCATCAGTGTACTCTGTATGAAATGTTGTCTCACACAAATAAACTCAGATATGATGGACTACATTCAAATACCAGATAATTTCGTACACTTAGCATCTTTATTATTAATTTATTCATTATTAGCATCTTAGCCTTATCTACAAATTCTCTAAGTGACAAAGCATAAATAGATTCAGAATCTGGTTGTGTATACTTCAATGGATTTTTCATTTGTCGTTCT